CCCGCGCAAATTTGGTCAGTCATTCCATCGCAAGCATACTGAATTATAAAAAAATCTACCAGATTGAAATGACAAGATTTTTAGGTATGACCTCCGAGGGTGGTGGAGCGGTTGCATTTCCTGTCATGACACTTCTCCTACAAATCGACCCTTCTGTGGCTCGCGACTTCTCACTGATAATCCAGTCAGCAGGTACACTTTGGGGACCGTCCAAACTGCTATGTTGCTTAGAATTGCTGCTTCCAGGCATGACTTGTGCTATGTGCGTGGTGTTAATCATGGAAATACAGATAGAAAAACGCGCTATACTTTTCGGCACTCTAGGATCTATCCCTGGCTTCATAGTTGGATCAGTTTTCGTGAGTTAAAACAAAATTTTGATTACTTACAAGCTGTGTCAATGGCGTGCTCCCTTTCCTATGGACGCGGTCGCCACGCCAGGGTTTCGCGCTGCGGATGCGTTTACGCAAAGGGAGTACATATTTGACACAGACTGTAATTACCTATTCTTGTCTTCCCAGTTAGACCCATATCTCACACCGGCTGAAAAGAAGATGCTTTTTGTCTCAATATGGTCATCGTTTGCTGTCGCCTTATATATCCTTAACTCACAACACAAACGTCGTACATATGATGTCATCCCAGAATTTAATCTTTGGAAAACTGGTATATTGGTTGTTACCGGATTTGTTGGAGGTAAGTACCCAATCCCTTCAGATCAAAAATCTTCAAAGTGTTAAGGCGTTTTCACTGCATTTGCCGGCTCTGGTGTGGATATTTGCACATTTTCGATAATCACCCTGCTGTTTCGAGTATCAGAGAAGACTGCGACGCCCACTTCTGTGGTTCTAATGGGTAAGATACTGTTAAAACCTCAGGAACATACCCTTTGATTCAACGGTGGCGGCTGGGAGACGGGGTTTTCGAGGCCCAATCAAGGCCAGAGGACTAGAGGATGACCAGAAAGCACGCTGGCGAGAGAGACGCAGGTTGCATCGCGGGCGCGAGCAATCGCCTTCCAGCAGCCAATCTTGCTGAATCAAAGCGTAGACAATGCTGTCAAAAGCAATATGCTACTTTCAAGCCACAGAGACATCGAGTAACTTATGCTTGCAAGAATAACGACTATTTTGTAAACTTCT